GGGAGGGGGGTAAGGACACTATGGGACAGGGGAGGGGGAGAAAGAACACTATGGGACAGGGTAGAGGGGAAGAACTCTCAGGGACAGGGGAGGGAGAAGAACACTATGGGACAGGGAGAGGGGAAGAACACTGTGGGGCACTGGAGGGGGGAGGAAAGAACACTATGGGACAGAGAAAGTGGAGAGGAAAGAATACTATGGGACAGGGGAGGCGGGAAAGAAAGAACACTATGGGACAGGGGAAGGGGGAGCAAAGAACACTATGGGACAGGGGAAGTGGGAGCAAAGAACACTATGGGACAGGGGAAAGGGGAGGAAAGAACACTATGGGGTCAGGGAAAGGGGAGGGAAAGAACACCATGGGACAGGGGAAGGAGGAAACACCATGGACAGGGGAAGGGGAGGAAACACTATGGAACAGGGGAGGGGGAGAACTCTAAGGACAGGGGAGGGGGGAAGAACACTATAGGATGGGGGAAGAACACTCTGGGGGAGGTTAGGGGGGAGAAAAGAACACTATGGGACAGGGGAGTGAGGGAGGAAAGATCACTATAGGACAGGTGAGCGGGGAGAAAGAACACTATGGGACCGAGAAGGGGTGTGGAAAGAACACTATGGGACAGGGGAGAGGGGAGGAAAGCACACTATGGGACAGGGGGAAGAACACTATGGGAGAGGACGAGGGAGGGGAAGAACACTATGGGAGAGGACGGGGGGGGAAGAGCACTATGAGACAGGGGAGCGTGAGGGGAAGGAACACTCTGGGACAGGGAGGGGGGAAGAACACTATGGGACGGAGTGGGAAGAACACTATAGGATGGTGGGGAAGGGACAGGAAGAACACTATTAAAAGGACACTATTAAAAGAAGAAAAACTACCACAACAAGAGGACATAGTCTTAAATTAGAGGGACAAAGGTTTAAAAATAATATCAGGAAGTATTACTTTACTGAGAGGGTAGTGGATGCATGGAATAGCCTTCCAGCTGAAGTGGTAGAGGTTAACACAGTAAAGGAGTTTAAGCATGTATGGGATAGGCATAAGGCTATCCTAACTATAAGATAAGGCCAGGGACTAATGAAAGTATTTAGAAAATTGGGCAGACTAGATGGGCCGAGTTGTTCTTATCTGCCGTCACATTCTATGTTTCTACTATGGGACAGGGGGGAGGAGAACTCTATGGGACAGGGGAGGGGGGAGAAAAGAACGCTAGAGGACAGGGGAGGGGGGAGAACACTATGGGACAGGGGAGGAGGAGGGAAAGAACACTAAAAAGAGGGAGGGGAGAGGAACACTAGGGGGAGAGAGAGGAACATTAAGGGAGGCACTAAGGTACAGAAGAGGGAAGGGACCACTAAAAGAGAAGCGAGAGGAACACTAAGGGGGGACGGGGGTGGAAGGAACATTAACGGGAATGGCGGGTGTAGCGGAGAGTTAGTATAATCCACGGTATCTCCGCTGGGTAACAGGAACAGCATAAAATGATCCAGTAAAATAAGCACAGCATACAATAATCTCGGTAGCGTTGTATCAATCTTTCCTTCCCAAGAACTAGACTGTCCTCATCTGGCACGGCCCGGTACGCCTCTGCTGCGCGACCGGATAGTCTCCCTGCTAGTAGAGGTACCCGATCTGCCACGCTGATGTTGTGTAGTTGGCACAACCTCTCAAAATCTTGCAGGTAGTCATCTACACCACCATCAGCTTCTGTATAACAATTAAATGCTTGAAAGGGAATTTTGGCTTTCCCTGGAGTGATGATGACAGGTGTCGTGGCTCTTTCTCCGGCTTGCTGGTTTGTCTGCGCCCCTCTGACCAGGATGTATTCTTGTACATCTGTGAAGATCCTGTTGAACATCTCTTCAGATGGTGGGGTTGGAAATAGAGCCAACCTACTCCTGCATTGTTCACATGGAGCATGTTTTGCCTCCTGCGCCTGTGGCCGGACCGATCACATAGGTGGTATCACAGATCTGTTCTACCACCTTGTATGGGCTCTGCCAGGAAGCCTGCAGCTTGTTTGTAGCGGAGAGGCAGTATAATCCACAATATCTCTGCTGGGTAACAGGAACAACAAAGGATAATCCAGGGGAATCAGCATGCAGTAATCCAAGTAGCACTGTAGTAACCTTTCCTTCCCAAGAACTAGACGACACATAGGCTGGGAGTCAACTGAGGTCTTTATTTTCAGCTCCACAATTTATACAAGTCCCCATGCAAGGGGTTTCCTGAGTCCCCTCCCAGGGGCATTCCCAAAAGGGACTACATGGGGGACTTATTGTACAAGACATTTCTCCCATCAGGCACTGCTGCACGAGAGGGATCCTCCCACAGGAATGTACCGTTAAGTGGATTATCCCTCCGTGCAGCAGAACCGACAATTTATATTAAAATGTATAACTCTTTGAATATACAGTCTATTTGCACGAATGGACGTTCGGTAGATAGCTGGGGTCTGAGCGCATCATTCGTGAGATTACCGCTCAGATCCCAGCTAAAACAACCGAACGCCGCACAAAAAACACATTCATTAAAACATATCTTCAAAAGACCGATTGCATGCAAGGGAACAGGATACCGAACGGCCTGGAACTCCTGAACGGCCTGGAAGCTCAGCGGTGTTCGTGCCGTTGAGTAGCCGTTTTTAGTACCATGCGCTTGACGACCAAACACCGCTGAGGAAACAAAGGATCCAAGATGGCCGACCGCCGCATGGTCAGTAGTCGAACGACGGCCACCTTGGAGAGCCTCTAATTACCGATTGCAACATTGCAAAAGGCGCCGTTCGTGAAACGAAAGGAAATCAGCTATCTGCTTTCGGCAGATAGCCAATGCAGGAAATACAGTTACACAATTGCATTACATTATACGCTGGAACACACATAACACGAAAATCATACAGGCAACCCTTAAAGCGACAGTACTTAAATAATGTCCAAGAGGCTAGGTTTGCCACATTGTCCTCGTGGACTTTTTGCCCCACCTGAAAGCTGCAGTCCCTGGCTCCCTTATCGTACCATCTGTGCTGTCGTTGTTGGGCCGCCTGGAGGTTGTCGCGTACGGTCTGTAGTCCCTTCTCCCTCCCAGTGTTCCCGGATTAAATCAAGGGGGCCCCTCACTCTCCTCCCGAATAACAGTTCAAAAGGAGAGAACCCGGTGGATTCTTGGGGTACTTCCCTATTGGCGAATAAGTGGGGTAAAAACTTTTCCCAGTCCTTCTGAGTGTCTATGAACGTACGGAACATCTGTTTGAGTGTTCCGTTAAATCGTTCACAGAGCCCATTAGACTGGGGGTGATAAGTGGAGTTTAAGATTTGTTGTACCCCACATATCTTACAGAGCTGGTGTGCGACTTCAGCGGTAAACTGAGTGCCCCTATCCGAAATAATTTCCCGGGGGAATCCCACGCGGGTGAATATTTGCATCAGGGCATCTGCTACTGTTTCCGCGTGCACGTTCGTCAAGGCCACTGCCTCAGGGTATCTGGTGGCATAATCCACCACGGTCAAGACATATCTCTTGCTGGAGGGGCTGGGTTTTGCTAGGGGTCCTATAATATCTACCGCCACCCTACTGAAGTGTTCCTCAATTATGGGGAGAGAACGGAGCCGAGCTTTGTATCGGTCTCCCCTCTTCCCTACCCTCTGGCAGGTATCACAGGTCTAGCAATATCGTCTAACGTCCTGTGAGATACCTGGCCAAAAGAAGTTCTGGGTCAGCCTGTGCTTAGTGCGGCTGATTCCTAAGTGTCCAGAAAGGGGAATATGATGGGCGATGCGTAATAGTTCCAGTCTATACTTCCGAGGCACTATTAACTGTTTAATGGGTAAGGGGATGGATCCGGACACTACTTTTTCTGCGTGGCGGTACAGCCATCCCTTGTCCCAGGTTTATCTCTCCTTCTAATCCTGCCTGGTCTTTATTTATGCAATCTTTGTAGATCTGCAGGGAGGGATCTAGGGCCACTTCAGAGGGGGGGGGTCACCCAGGGCATGACAGCGGGCATGGGAAGTTCATTGCTTACCTGAGCCTCGGAGTGGTTAGGTGGAGCTGTGGTGTGGGCCTGTTGCCGGGTCACAACTGGATATGCTTCCTGTACGGTGGGTTGAGGAACAAAAGCTGAAGTCAGCTCCCCCAGGTCGTTGCCCAAAATGACGTCAGCGGGTAAATCCTGCATCATCCCCACCTCTACATTCCCGTGCCCCGCTCCCCAATTCAAATGTACCTTAGCAGTAGGTACTTTGTAAACTGCCTCCCCTGCCACCCATACAGCAACACAGTCCCCAGTTAGATTGTTTTTAGGCACCAAATGATTCCGGACTAGCGTTAAGGTAGCCCCAGAGTCGCGAAGTCCTTGTACCTTTTTCCCCTCCATATGTACCTCCTGTCGGTGTCCTTGCCGGTTATCTGAGGCTGCCTAGATGGGGACATTTCTCCCATCATGCACTGCTGTATGAGAGGGATACTCCCACTAGAATATCCAGTTAAGTGGATCATCCCTCCATGCAGCAGAACCGACATTTCACCTGAAAATTTATAACTTTTACATTATTCACTTTATTTA